CAGGGTGTTTGCCTTCTGTCGGTCTGAACACCTGTGGGCTGAGCACACCTGTACCGGGGACTGTGCGGTCTGCATCACAAAATAAGCTCACAAACTTTTCGGTTTAAAAGCTCAAATGCACAACGAAAACGTTGTATATGAATGTTCATGCTGCTCCCTGCGCTGCCCCCCTCCCAGCATATCTGGTAACTGGGGGAAGGGTGTGCCCCACATCGGTTTGGGGAACTCTAGCACACAGGTATTGGAATGACTAACGGGTGTTTACATCTGTACACCGAGGCCTGCCGTCCGCGTCAGGAATGTGTCTGTGTGGGCGGCCGAGTCCCAGGTGGTGCGATCACTGCCTGGTGATCATCTTCTGGCAGCCCTTGGGAATCCCAGGAGCACAGTTGTGGGACCCGATCGGACTGCCTTGAGTCAGACGGACCTATCGGCCTCAGGGTTACATTCCAATAGAGCCGGAGCTGGCAGTGTGCAGATGGGTGGCGGCACCCCCAGGAACACCCTGTCCCTAAGCAAGCTCTTGGTCACTTCCCTCCACAGCATGTCCCAGGATTTGTCAGAGGCCCTGAAAGAGGCCACCAAGGAGGTGCACGCCCAGGCCGAGAATGTGGAGTTTATGAAGAACTTTCAGAAGGGCCAGGTGACCCAAGAAGGCTTTAAGGTATGTGGCCTTGTGGGACCATGTCTAGGGGAGAATGTAACAAGTGTGGGTGTGTCCAAGGCTCAGGTCCGGCTTTATCAGGGGGATGCTGATGGAGACCAGATGGGCATGTCCAAGGGACACATGATGGGAGATACTGAGGCTCAGGGAGGGCAGATGACTGACATGCAGGCTCACAGCACATCCACAGTTGGCGGTGCATGCTGTGGCAGGGCTGGGGCAGCAGCACTGCCCACTGGGCACCTGTTCTGTGCTGGGCATTTTCTGTTCTGTATGATTCCTCTCTGTGTGCCTTGGTGAGGAGAGAGGAAGGCTCAGAGAGATCAATACCTACTAGGAAGTCACACAGCTGGTCAGTAAGTGTGAAGGGCTGGACATTGTGTGGCTCAGTTCTTGAACCCAGTCTGGTTTTGACAGGTTCTCAGTGCACCTAGGGCAGAGATGCCGGGGCCTGAGAGTGCAGGCTGCTTGCCACACAGCGGAGGGTCGGTCAGGCTCCAGAACCTACGTGGCCTGGCTTTCTACTCTGTCACTCAAGGCATGGGGCTGGCATGACCCGAAAACACTTCAAAAATCTCAAGCAAAACATCTCGACTCTGTGCCCTCCCTTCCAACCCACACCGGAGCTATTAATCTATAACATGTGCCCGGGCCATCTCCCTCAGGGCAGAGTCCACAGGGAGGGGGGGAACTCCATCACAGAGTGCCCCTTGTATATGGTCACGCCCCTGCCTCCGGCCAGGCCATGCTAGATCAAAAGCAGCACCACCTCAAAGTCTCCTAAATGCTCCTTCTGCCCTTTTGGGGGAAAGGAGAATAGCAACTGCATTGTGGGGCTCCGTGAGGATGACAGTAGGCTGTGTGCTCTTCCTGGGGGTCAGAGGCTTCCCGCTGAGAAAGGGTCTTTCTCTTAGAACCACTCCTCTGGCTCTTGTGTGGGGAGGATGGACGGGAGGGGCCGTGAGGAGCGCTGGAGTGTGTGTGTGGCCCCCAGGTGCAGGTGGTCTCTGGAGGGGAGGCTGACCTGCTCACTCTGGTTTTCTGGCTCCAGCTGGTGATGGCCTCTCTGTACCACATCTACGTGGCCCTGGAGGAGGAAATAGAGCGCAACAGGGAGAACCCCGTCTACTCGCCCCTCTACTTCCCGGAGGAACTGCACCGCACAGCCGCCCTGGAGCAGGACATGGCCTTCTGGTATGGGCCTTCCTGGCAGCAGGCCATCCCCTACACAGCAGCCACGCGGCGGTACGTGCGACGGCTGCACACGGTGGGGCACACGGAGCCCGAGCTGCTGGTGGCCCACGCCTACACCCGCTACCTGGGCGACCTGTCGGGGGGCCAAGTCCTCAAGAAGATCGCCCAGAAAGCCCTGGACCTGCCCAGCTCCGGCGAGGGCCTGGCCTTCTTCACCTTCCCCAACATCGCCAATGCCACCAAGTTCAAGCAGCTCTACCGCGCCCGCATGAACTCGCTGGACATGACCCCCGAGGTCAAGCACAGGGTCGTCGAGGAGGCCAAGACCGCCTTCCTGCTCAACATTCAGGTCAGAGGCGTCGGCCGCCGCCTGCCCCCAGCCTAGCCCCCGCTCTGAGCATGACTGAGCTCCTTGGGGACCCTGTCACGTGCAGGGACTGCTGATTCAGGCTTCCAGCTCTCCCCCTTCCTAACTAGCTGGGTGATCTTCCTTGCTCCCTACCTCACCTTGCCCATCTGGGAAATGGGACTCGGGACTCGTAATACTATTGTCAATTCTCATGCATGGGACTCCGTGCCGCAGAGAACTGCCCCTTAGGGTTTCCCAGATGTCCTTATGGGACAGTGGCCAGGGTTTTCCTCCCAAGGTGCGGCTGGTGGGTTCAACCCATGAACCTTCAGGTTCGGAGCCCAGCGCTTAGCCATGAGCCACCAAGCACCCTCGGGAAGAATCATAGAACCGATACGTGAGTGCCATCTGTGAGGTTGAGGTGACGGCACTGAAGCCCCCCACAACCAGCAGAGACTGGCATGGGGGGTGGGGACCTCGTTCGTTAGCCCCTAGTGGATACACATTTGGGCTGCTAACTGCGAGGTCAGCGGTTCGAAACCAGCAGCAGCAACATGGGAGAACGACAGGGCTGTCGACTCCCATAGAGTTACAGCCTTAGACCCCGGGGGCCGGTTCTACACTGTCCCCTCGAGTCACTCTGAGTCGATGACAGTGAGTTGGGTTGGTGAATTGGGGGAGTGAGACTCAGGGTCGTGTGCTCCCAGACGCACAGACCCCCGAACAAACAACAAACCAGTGGCCATCAGGTCCACTCCGGCTCGGGAGAAGCCCAGGTGTGGTGTCCGAGCCCAACGGTGGCTGAGGGTTCAGAAGTAGATCACCAGGCCTTTCTTCCTCCTCTGGGGGAAGTCCCACCGCCCGACGGGTAACCAGCAGCTGCGAGTGCATGACCCCCGCCCCACGGACTGGGCGTCCCTGTGATAGGAGGGAGGAGAACGATGCCTGGGGGTTTCCTAGGCTGCGGATCTTGACGAGCAGACTGCCTCATCTTCCTCCCGTGATGAACGGGTACTACCAATTCTCAGTTCAAGATGCTTGTCCTGGGGGTGGGGCGAAGCATCGGAGAGAAGAGCATGCTGGGACTCTGCTAACGTGTTCTCTCGTAATCTCTGAACGAGGCGCAGGAGCACATCCAGGCTTGGTTCTCAGGCTTTGTTAGGCCCGGCTGTTAGTAGTTCCCAATAGAACGCAAAGCCCCGGGTCCCTCCGTCTCTCACTGGGGCGTCCGTCTTCTGTCTTTTAGCTGTTTGAGGAGCTGCAGCAGCTGCTGACCCTGGACACCGCCGACCAGCGCCCCTCCACCCCACCAGGGCTTCAGAGGCTGGCAGGCCACAGGGTGCCAGGTGAGGCCCGGGGGAGGGGCATCCTCTGGGCTCTGAGTGGAGGGGGGCCGGCCTCACGGTCTGCCCCAAGGACCTCCTGGATGCTGTACCATGGGTTGCTGGATGCAGATGACAGGGTGTGGAGGGAGGGGTCGCTTCGATTTCATTGTGTGGGTCTGGGCCAGCCTGTTTCCTCGCCTTTCAAATCAAGGAGGTGGCGCTAGTTCCAGAAGGTTCACTGACTTGGGAGTGAGGACTTGTATGTGGTGGACCCTGTGAGGTCATGGGCAAAATGCCACCACCCCACCCCACTGCCCAGTGCCCTGTCTCCTGATCCCTGAGCAGACCCACGTTCCAGCTATTAACCTCCTGGGTTGATGAGCAAGACCTGTGACCTCTTGGTCATGTTGCACGTTCAAGCCAGGGAATGTTCGCTCCTGCAAGGAGCTGGCTGGTGGTCCGACCCCCACAGGACGGCTGAAGGAGGAAATCTCTGGCCTGGAGGTCCTCCCTGCCAGCCCTTGCCCACCACCACATTTCCCTCCAGCTTACAGACAGGCGTCTGAGGCGAGGGGATACCGCTCAGCCCCCCTGCCCAGGGAAGTCTGCGGAGGGCTTTCCTCAGGGCAGGCAGGCCTGTGAACATGTGCCCCGGGCCCCAGAACTTTCTCATGAGTGGTCTGGCTGAAAACAGAAGCATAGGCAGTTTGGGAAACTCGTAACCTTCCCATCACTGGCGGTATTTGAGCAGTGGCTAGAGAGCCCCCTCCCTGGCGTCGAACAGGGACCGGCCCAGAGGCAGGCAGTTAAGGCCCCTGTGCTGTGCTTTGCAGTGATACCAGGTTGCAGCCACCTGTGGTTGACCAGACCCCTCCTTTCTTTGGCAGAGACCACCCCCACCGAGGTTCCCAGAGGCAAGGCTGCGCTGAGCCTCCTCCCCCAGTCTCCAGTCTTCCGCTGGGTCCTGACGCTCAGCTTCCTGGTGGCAACGGTGGCCGTGGGGCTGTACGCCATCTAAAGGCAAGCACGCCGACTCCTGGGCCATGAACTCTGTCCAGCCAAGGGAAAACCCTGCTGGCTTCTCTACCTTGGGCATGTCCCTGCCCTCCCCTGTGGCCCCCTTCTCTGCGAAAGAGGAAGGCACCCGGGCATATGTCTCATCCCAAAGCACCTCCAGCCCGGAGCCAGCAGCCTCTTGAGTGGTCGGGGAGCCCCTCCACCCCCTGTTCCTGCAGCAGAGCCGATGGAGCCGCCCTGCCCCTCCAAGCCCAGGGCACGGGCTTCCCCGCTGACAAGGCCATGACCACTGCCCTGTGTGCCATGGTGATTTTTTTACATAAACTTGCCAAGAGATGTTGTGTCTTGTGTTTGTTTCTCTGTCTTGTTTTTGTCGGACCACTGTATCTGGTTCCGCCCCCACTCCAGTATTATATTGTGTTGTGTTGTTTTACAGCCCGGGAGCCAGGGTCTGGGAGGCGGGTGGTCAGACGGGAGGACATCACCAGCATTGGTGTCTAACTTGTACGTGTGACAATAAAGGACATTGACTTAAGATCTGATGCCGTCTTGTTTTCCTTGGGCTCCGAGGACAGCTGGCATGTTTCCAAGGGCCTGGTGGGGACGGGGCGGCAGGAGCAGGTTTCCATGATTGGGGTCCCCATTCTGAGGATTGGGGGGTGGGCTTTCGGCAGCTGAGGGGTGAATGGCTGTGCGGAACCCTCCTTGGTGTAAGCCTGGCCTCTAAGGACAGCGCTGCCCTGTTAGTCAGAGGTAACATGGGTGAGTGGTGTGCACAGAGTGGACCAGAGGCGGGCGCTGGGTACACACACCTGCTGCTCCACTGGGCAACTCTGCCCCAGGTCTGGTCTTTAGCCCCTCAGGGCACCGTGGGGTCCCCTCTGACGGCTATGCAGTGCCACCTGCCTGCCTCGGGACCCTGTCCTGAGATGTGAGCTCCCTGGCAGCGTAAGCACCCTTAGTGAGATGATGGAAGGGGAGACCAATGTCTCCTGGTTCTTGCTGTGTGGCTCCCAGCACCCTGTGGAGTCACCTCCCCTCTGCCCCCCACCCTTCGTATCTTACGGCAGCACATCTGAGGGACTGAAGGATTGAAAACAAGGCTCCCCAGTGCTCCAGAGTGTCTGGGCGGTGAAGCACTTAGGTGCTTGGCTGCTCACTGGAAGGTTGGAAGTTTGAGCCCCCCACCCCACCGGGGTGCCTGGGAAGGCAGGCCTGAAAGATCTGCTCCTGAAAGTTCCTTCCCAGGAAATTCGGGGGCACTCAGCGGCACAGCGTCCACTCCACAGGCCCAGGCTGCTAGGGCTACTGAGGTGCCTGACCCAAAGCCTCCAGGTCCAGGCGAGGGAGAGCCCTTCAGTGAAGGGGCCAGCACAGAGCAGGGGCAGGGTCCCTCTAGGAGCCCCCTACCTGTATCAGGGCTGGAGGCAGAGCACTTGAGTCCCTGAGGCCTGACTCTGTCACTAAGTCTGTGACCTTAGACAAGTGACTCAAGTCTGCTTGTGTCCCATGCAGGAGCCCCGGTGGCGTAGCAGTCACGAGTTGGACTCCCGACCACAAGATTGGCAGTTCGAAATCACCGGTTGCTCCCAGGAGACAGACTTTGGGGCTTTCGACTCCCGTAAACAGTTCACCGTCTCCAAGACTCCCAGGGGCAGTTCTGCCCAGTCTGGTCGAGTCGCTAGGAGTCGGCACTGACTCGATGGCAGTGAGTTTGGTTTGGGGTTTGGTTTTGGTTCCAAGGCAGCATAGGAACAGCACGTGGTACCCCCAAGGTGGCGGGAGCAGCCAGTGGGATGAGAGTCACCTGTAGCCCCAGCCGTAGACTCCAGGCCCTGGAGGAGGGCTGCTTATAAAACTCCCTGCGGGGTGCCAACGCACTGCCAGGGAGCCACTGTGGGGGTTCTGATGCAGAGGTTAAGGCGTCTGGATGGTCAGCTAACGAAAGGCGGGCTGTTCCGATGCACCCGGTGGCTTCAGGGGCAGAGAGAGCCCTGGGAAAGCGTAAAGCCCGATGGCTCTGTCAGGTGAGGTCCCTATGAGTCAGGCTTCACTCCAGCACCAGCAGCAGCAGCAGCAGCAACAGCCCTGGGCAGGCCCGCGCAGGGCAGCCACAACTCAACTCTCCTGGCCTCCGTTTCCCCAAAGGAGCATTGACCTGGGGGGAGGAAGGAAGGGAAGAAGGCGGGAGTGAAAGATGGAGGAAGGACAGGAGATTCATCTCGACATTCATCTCACAGGCAGAGTGCTGACTAATGGGTGCTGGGGTCCTCCCCACCCACGGCGAACAAAGTAGCCTTTGCAGAGAGTGGGTCAAACCCTTTGTCTATTGGCGTGGAGGAAGTCCAGAAAATCTGACTGAGAAAAGGAAGCGCCAGGTTCATTCAGAACCTTTCATTGTTTTCCCTCCATTGACACGCTCCTCGCTCCTCGTAGACAAAGCTCCAAACCAAACTCACTGCCACGGAGTCGATGCTGACTCAATGAGCCCCTAGGACAGGCCAGACCTGCCCCTGCGGGTTTCCGTGTCTGTAATTCTACTATAGACAAAGCAAAGAAAGCCTTGTCTGTCCCTGGAGGAGAGGCTGCTGGTTTTGAACTGCTGAACTTGCGGTTATCAGCCCGATGTGTAACCACTACGTCTCGGCAGGGCTCCTCTCTATATCCCAGGGGGCTTCTGAAAGTTGGTGGGAAAGTGGAATGTAAAGAGAGTGGACTTTTAGTCCTTCCCTCTGTTGCGAATGAACCAAAGAGGCCGGTGGGCTCTGCCCTAGTCCTCACTGACGGGTGGAGCGGAGTGGACGGGAGGGGATGATGTCCTTCCATTCAATAAGCAGCCACTAGGCAGCAGGCACTGTTTGAATTCACCTTCACTCTCCACTGCCCAGTTGCTGGAAGAGGGTCCGTGAACACGGGGTGGGCACCATTTCCACACCCATGTTGGTGTTAGGTGCCTTCAAGCTGGTCCCTCTCCATAGACGGGAACACCACCTGGTTCCGTTGTCTGAGCCCATTGTTGCAGCCACTGTGTCAATCCATCTAGTCCAGAGCCCCCCTTTTCCACCGCCCCGCCTCTTTATCAAGCATGATGTCCTTTTCCAGGGACCGGTCTTTCCTGATAACACGTCCAAAGTACACGAGACAAGTCTCATCATCTTCGCTTCTAAGGGGCACCCTGGCTGCACTTCGTCCCAGACAGATTAGTCTGTCCTTTTGGCAGTGCATGAGACTGTCAATGTCCTTCGCCAGCACTGTAGTGCAAATGCATCCATTCTTTGTTTGCCGTATTCACCACTGTGTCAGTTACATAATCTGTTGTCAATTTGAGGAAGGAGTGGAGCCTGGCCTGGCAATTGGGTCACAGCTTGATGACCTCATTTGGAGGCACATGGAGATAAACAGCTTACTGGAGATGGGACATGGTCACTCCCTGGGAGACATTCCTGCTGACAAGACACAGGAGCTATGCTAGTGCCCTGAAGCTGGAGGAGCCATGTGGGAGATCCCTGCCAACACTGAGATGCTTCCACCACCACTGGATCCACAAGATTTTCCACCCACTGGCCTGTGAAATTCCTGCATTCAGTGTCATTTCATGTGTTTTGTGAGCCTGAAGAGGACTTTGTAGATTGGTATGGGACATATGGGCTAATAACAGACTTGTGGACTTGATCTGGAGTGGGCTGGGATGTTTTCGCAATGCATAATTGCTCTTGTATATAAAGCTCTTTCTTACACACATGAGTGTCTGAATTTGTTTCTCTAGTCAACCTGGACTAACACAACTATCCTCACAGGCTTATGAGGCCATTGAAAATACCCTGGCTCGGAGCAGGGGCACCTTAGTCTTCAAAGTAACACCCTTGCTTTTCAGCGCTTGAAAGAGGTCTTGTGCAGCTGATGGCCAATTTCATGTCACCTTGATAAATAAGTGTAGGGGTGGAGTCTAGCCTGTCAATCAGGTCACAGTCTGATGACGTCTGCTTGTGGGGATGATCTTCTCATGAGGATTCTGGGAACTTCCTCTCTCTCTTTCTCTGCCTGGGGCTTCCTGTTGACAAGCCAAGTGGAGACTTGCTGAGACCCTCGAAAGCCCCTCTCTCTGCTTCTCCTTCCTGTTGAAGAGCCACACTTGGAGAGCTGGAGAAGCTACGTGGAGACCCACGCCAGCCCTGAGATGCTCCCACCACCACTGGATCCACAAGACTTTGCACCCAACGGCCTGTGAACCTCCTGCATCATTGCATGTGACTGTGTGAGTCTGAAGAGGGTTTTATGGACTAATATTCCACTTGACTTAGGAACTTGATCTAGACTGGGCTGGGATGTTTTTTAATATACAATTACTCTTTGATATAAAGCTCATTCTTTTTTTTTTTTTTTTTTCATATTTCTGGTTTCAGATTTATTCCTTTTCTTTTTTTTAGAAATCGTTTTATTAGGGGCTCATACAACTCTTATCACAATCCATACAAACATCAATTGTGTAAAGCACATTTGTACATTCATTGCCCTCATCATTCTCAAAACATTTCCTCTCCACTTAAGCCCCTGGCATTAGGTCCTCATTTTTCCCCTCCTTCCCCGCTCCCCCCCTCCCTCATGACCCCTTGATAATTTATAAATTGTTATTTTGTCATATCTTGCCCTGTCCGACATCTCCCTTCACCCACTTTTCGGTTGTCCGTCCCCCAGGGAGGAGGTCACATGTAGATCCTTGTAATTGGTTCCCGCTTTCCAACCCACTCTCCCTCTACCCTCCCAGTATCGCCACTGACACCACTGGTCCTGAACGGATCATCCGCCCTGGATTCCCTGTGATAAAGCTCATTCTTACACATATATGAGTGTCTCTGGATTTGTTTCTCTAGTTAACCGGGTCTAACACAAGAAGTAAACAATAAAATGGCTGAGAAGGAGTTGGTGAGGTTGAAGAAACAAAATTCAATGCCCCTGAGTCAATGCTAACTCATAGAGACCCTCTAATATGGCAGGATAGAGAGCAACCCCTGTGAGTTTCTAAGGCTGTAACTCTTTACAGGAGTAGACAGCCTCCTGTTTCTCTCTCAGGGAGGCTGGTAGTTTTGAACTGCTGACCTTGCAGTTAGTAGCACAGCGTGTAAACCACCACACCACCAGTACGCCAACCATTACCAACCTGGACTTTAGGCATAGAGCCAGCCTCCCAGGGCTTTTATTCAGTAATACTGACTTCCAGGGACCCCCGAGGACTTGCAATGCTGAGGTTAGCTGTCACAGTACTTGTGCTGCGGGCAGGAGCCCAGCATGAGTCTTGGGGCTACTGAGACGTGGACTCTCAGTTCTGGCAGCCAGACAGGGTCCTTGGCCTCACAGCTTGGGGCAGATGGTTTTAGCAGGGGCTTGCTCCCCTTTTCTGACAAAGCGGCAGGAAAAGGCAGCCCCACAAGGTGGACAAAAGATGACAGCATTGGGGTGACAAGCTCAGCACCCCTGCGCCTCCCCGGGCCGCTGTGGGCTCCACGGGCTTCCAGCTCATCAACCACAGACCGGCAAGAGTTAACCCAGGTTGGCGTAGACCCAAAGCTGTCACCAGCGCTGTGGACACTTTAGGATGGGAACAGTGGTCAGCACAGAGCCACCAGGCCTCCTAGGTTGGGAGAAGCAAGTTTAAATTCTGGCTCTGCCACCAGCTCATCTTGGTCCCTTTCAGCTGACCTTTCTGTGCCTTTGTGTCCCCATTTGCATAAATCCCGACCCAGCTCCCTGGTTTTCTGTTTTGTTTGGTGGCTGTAATATTGAAGAATGTAGATCACCAGGTCTTTCTTCCACAGCATGACTGGGTGCAGACTAACGGCGAGGCTTTTGGGCAGCAGCTGAGCACCTTGCCTGATTCCTTTTGGGTTAATAGCTGATGGTAGATGGTCTATACCACCCAGGGAGCTATCCGTACAAGGAGGGAGAGGCCACGGCCCACAAGCCTGATCTTAAAACTGGCCCCGAGTAGCTTTGAAGGCTGTCATCTTTAGGAAGCAGACAGCCACATCTTTCTCCCTATGGGTTTGAACGGGCTGACCTTCAGGGCTTCACCATTGTCTTCTGATCTCAAATGGCCGATTGTTCTAAGGCAGCAGTTTTCAACCTGTGGGTTGCGACCCCTTTGGGGGTGGAATGACCCTTTCACAGGGATCGCCCAAGACCACTGGAAAACACATCTTTCTAATGGTCTTAGGAACAGAGACACCGCTCCTCTATCATCTCCAGGCAGGTCCGCCCACATGCACATATGCCCACCTATGAATTCCTGGTGTGAAGACTGTTACCATGCTACACTATGCTTCAAGACAAAATGTCATTGATTTGCCATTAGAAATAAATATTTCACAATATATAATTACATATTGTTTTGTGATTAATCATTATGCTTTAATTATGTTCTGTTTGTAACAATGAAAATACATCTTGCCTATCAGATATTTACATGATGATTCATAACAGTAGCAAAATTACCGTGTGAAGTAGCAACGAAAATAATTTTATGGTTGGGGGGGTCAGGGCATTCAGAAGGTTGAGAACCACTGTTCTAAGGTATGTGTCCCTCACCAGGGCTACTGCTGTCCTTTATAGACCTGTTTGCTGGGCTGGAAACGGAGCCACGTAGTTTCAATGGTGCAGAAAAGAAATTTTATTTGGCACATGCAGCAAAGAGAGAGAGGTCAGAAACATATGGACCTGCCATCGAAGGATGTCTGCCTGCCGCATAGAACAATAGAAGACCAGCCTCCCGTAAACAAATCTGTGGAGGGAGGCTTGATTCTTTCTACACTGATAGTTTGGTGAAAGATCACTGATACAAGTTGTATAACAGGAGGGCTATTATTGATCCAACTGGCCTGAAGGGGGGACTAAAAGCGATAATTGCCCTCTATCAATATATATTAGTTCCCACAGGCCAGTGTGTGTCTGCTGCAATTAACCTATCCATCTGTCTGGTAAGCAAATGATAACTCCTTGACTTCCCAAGCGCGTCAGGGAGAGTGATCATGTGCTACCTCTTCACAGTGGTCAGAAGGGTGTGTGTGTGTGTGTGTGTGTGTATACTCAAGATGATGTTTAGACTGCTTCAAGGTTTAGGATGGAATCAGGGCTCTCACGGCAGGCAGCTGGCTTCCACAGAACACATGCCTTAGTTTTAGGCACTGAGGCAGTTCATTTTTAGGCATGAGCATGACTAAGGTTCACGGCCTGGGCTTGGGAGTGCCCACAGGGTTTCCTCGGTTGTAATTTATCAAGGTGTGGAGTGCCGGGCCTTTCTCCATAGTGCCACTGCGTTTGGTCTTTCTACTGGCCAAAGCTTGGGGTTAGCAGCTGAGTGCTTACTTAACTGCTGCAACACCAGGGCTTTTATTTTTCAACTTAAAAAAAAAGTTCTATTGGACAACTCATTCATATTGAGTTGTCTAATCATCACCACCATCAATTTTTGAATATTTTCTTGTACGTTGTGAACTCCCCCATTGACTCCTAACCTCCCTTCAAAACCAAACCAAACCAAACTGAAAAAAAACAAACCCAACCAACAATTCCCTTCCATCTTGTCAGTTCTGATTCACGGTGACCCTATAGAGCAGGGAAGGCGTGGCCTTGTGACGGCAACTCTTTATGGGATTGTTTTTCTCCAGGGGAGCTGGTTGGTGATCTCAAACTGCTGACCTCGGGGTTATCAGCCCAAGGCATAATAAGCACTACTAAGACACCAGCGCTCCACATCCCTAGGTAATTATTAATGCAGTTAAGGTCTCCGCAGATGTAGCTAGGGCGGACGTCATATGCAGAAAAACATACAAAACAAGAACAACCCAACAACCTTGACGAAGGAAACTAGGCAGGCCTCCGTCGGAAGGTGGTCTAACATTGGACACTGCATACACCGGCTGACTATGTAGCATCCCCCTTTCTCCCTGGGTAACCTGTTGCCAACCCACCCTCTTTCCCAGTGGCTTAGCGGGTTCAAAACCAGGCATTACTCCACGGGACAAGGAGGAGGCTTTCTGTCCTGAAACCCAACGGGGGTCAGTTCTACTCAGATCTGTAGGGTCACATCCTCTCGATGGCCCTGGATTTCGGTTTTTCTACCACTCTTGACTTCGCCCTCGGGCGAACACTGCCCCGCGGATGTCAATGGTTGGCAGTTCGGAGGCGGGGTGAATTCCGCGCCAGACCTGAAGAGTACGGCCGGAGTCTTGAGGCGTCGGGATGTGCCCACCACTCCCCACCCGACCAGTAAGCTGGTCCTCGGTATGATCTTGAGCCCTGGTCCACATTTTTCCCCATTCTAGCCAGGGCCTTCTCAGCGATCCTTTCAGAGAAGCTGGTAAGTTTAAGACTAGAGTAAGGGCCAGTCCCCGCCGCCCCGCC